AACCCCCTTCCCCTCCCCCATTTCTGAAGAAGGGTCTAGGCCCGAAACATCAGCCTTCCTGCTCCTCTGATGCTGCTTGGCCTGCTGTGTTCATCCAGCTCTACACCTTGTTATCTCAGATTCTCCAACATCTGCAGTTTCTACTATCTCTGAAACACTTTCAAATGGCTACTATCCAGCCCTCCCCCATCCCCACAGACTAACTTACTTCATCAACCTCCTCCTGCACAGCAGTCTCAATTCAATGCACCTCAGCTCCACCTATCCCTCTCTCTCATGAGGCACTGCCTCAAGTCCTCAGCTGAACTGCAGCCATTGACACTCACCTTCACCTTACTGCCATCTCATTTACCTCCTTCATATTTATGTTCCATAATCATTACCCTTTCATTCTTTATCACGATCCATTTCTTACACACATAACTCCCTGATTCCTCTCCTTGCAGAAGAAAGGGTGGAAAATGGAGAAGTTAAAAACCCAGGGGTGGCTCTCTAGTATTCACCTCCCTGACTGCTGTGAAGGCACTAAAAACTGTAATGATCCCCATTGAGATCGATAACCTTTAAAATGAAATTTGAGTTTCCAATTAATAGTGGAATGGATAACGTGACAAAAAGTCCCATGACCAGGTGTTTCCTTCAGTTTTTGGAGTTTCCCAAATCCACTGCTGGCAGGATGTGGGAAAATTTGGGAAAATACAGACCTATATAGTTAAAGAACACTCTAATCATCCTTCTTCCCCTTCGCCGTGCCAAGATCAATCTTCTGGGTTCCTTAGATGGCTGCAGAATGTGTGTCTCTTTGACTAGAGATTGTTTCCCAGTTCATGAGGAACCGGCAGCCTCCTCTTCCTGCTGACCACAACTTCTTCACAATTCTCTCTTTTCAGCACGGTGACTCAGTGGTTAGCACTGCTGCCTCACAGAGCCAGGGACCTGGGTTTGATTCCAGCCTCGGGCGGCTGTCTGTGTGGAGTTTGCACATTCTCCCTATGTCTGTGTGGGTTTCCTCCGGGTGTTCTGGTTTCCTCCCACAGTCCAAAGATGTGCAAGTTAGGTGAATTGGCCATGCTAAATTGCCCTTCATGTCCAGGGATGTGTTAGGTGGGATTAGCCATGGGAAATGTAGGGTTACAGGGAAAGGGTGGGGGGCGGTGGTGGTGGGTCTGGGTGGGATGCATTTTGGAGGGGCGGTATGGACTCAATGGGCCGAATGACCTGCTTCCACACTGTAGGGATTCTATGATTCTCCTCTGCCTAAAGGCTTTGGAGTTGGCAAGTCTTTTTTATTACCATGTGCTTAGCTGCCCTTGCTTTTCCTTTCCAGGCGAGAGAACTTTGCTCCTTGTTCAGTAGGTCGCTTGACTTAGCCAGGCGTGTTTGTCAGGTAGGATTTGGAATAGTCGCATGACTCCCTTCATTTTCGGCAACATTTAGACACAGTCCCAAATATAATACTCTTCTAATTGTCATAACTGTAACAAAACAGGAGTCTCCCAGCTAACTGGTGACAGAGTTAAACATCATGCAACAATTATTATGTTGAAGTGATGTCTGCACAGTGAGGACTTTGAAATCTTTCCCCGTGTTAGTTCTAATTCATATCTTTCATCTGGCACAAGGCTTTCAAGTGCAATGTCGGGGACACCGCGAGAGGAGATCCGAGGAAGCACAGTAACAAAGCTCATGTGCACTATCCACCAGCTCAGACACGCACATCTCAGTGAAGGTAGCTGGGTTGTCACATGGTGGGGGCTTGAGCAGATGCTGAAGGTGAAAACCCTGATGGAGAAGGCAGGGACCATGCAAACTGAGCACAGCTGGTCGTAGATGATGACAGTCATTGTGGAAAAGGACTGTTCTGAAACAGCACCAGAAAATGCGTGAGATTCTGTTAACATTTCCAGAGACACTGTACATCACTGAAGTCACTGGGGACATATGTCCCAAAGATGCTATCACCTGTAATTAAAGCAAGAGAATAAGTAGCCTCCCTCTAACTCTGCTGAAGCCTCAGGGACAGAAGTAACGGGAAAAGGAAAAGAAACAGTTTGTGGTTTCACAAGGGAAAGTGATTGGGTGCTCATAAGGATGTCAACTTGTCAAACTTATTGTAGGTGTTTCTGCAGGATAAACTGTATTTCAAGTCTCCATTATCTAGCTATCTTCATTGTCGTCTCTCGCTTAACTGTACCCCAGCCTGGTAGGGCAAGAGTTGAAAAAGAGCAGTGGATATGAGTGAAGTGGCAGGATTACTGACTGCTGGAATAAACTGGGATTGGTGGAAACTGGTGGGATTGGAGGAAGCAGTAGTTTCAGCATTGGCAGGCATATATCTGCAGCACCTCAGGTTAGCTATATTGTGGTTGTATAACATTGTCCTGGATGTTTATGAGACAAACCAGCCACTACTTTCCTCCAACTACACAGTCTAATTCCTAATTGTAGATATTTCTAATCAACCGACTGAGAGATTTTTTTTTATATTTTCCGATGTTATTACGCACCTCTGGAGCAGGTGAGCATTGAACCTGGGTGTCCTGGCTCAGAAGTAGGGACACTACCACTGAGCCACAGGAGGGCCCTCTCTGCTAATTGTATACTAACTGCATTTAATTACATGCAGGTGGTGGATATTAACCAAGGATTCACTAGAGCTCCTATAAAAAGGAACAGAGAGGAGCTCGTGCCTCAGTGGCAGTATCCATACCTCTGAATCAGGAGGTCTGCATTCCCTTTCCATCTCCAGGATGTGACAGCCACAGAGGTGTGAACACATCAAATGGGGCTTTTATTAATTTAAAAGGAACAGATTGAAACAGTGATTGTTGGACAAGCAGGTGCATGTTTGAATTGTGTTACCCTGCAAGGCAATGCTTACGATAAAAGATTGGTTCCACTTCTATCCTTCTGGGACATAGCAATGGAAATTACTGTAATTCATGACTATTGCTGCCTGCTGAAGTCCCTATGTCTGCCAGGCACTCGAATTACACATGTAATGATCATTCTTGTCCTCATGTGACTGTTATACCTTCCCTCTGACACCATCAGAATGACATGGCTCAACTTTTTAACCCGAAGGAATGATTCTCAAATTAAGAAATCCTTGGAAATGACAGTTATGCAGCCTACTTCCTTTAACACCTTCAGAATGAAATATGGTCATGTTGATTGGATTTGTCACCCTTTGTTATCATGACATTCTGACTACTGTTTTTTTGCTGACATTAATTCTGGTGAGTCACTGCCCCTGCTCAATATTAATTTCTCTGGGTTATCCAGTGTACTGTCCTTTTCTTCAACTGTAAGTATTGGTGCAGGCTAATTATTCAACGTTAACAGTCTCCATTTCCGTTTTTTATTAACATAATCAGTTCACAACAGGTTCAAATTGCTCCTGGCCCATCGCATTGAAGTATACAACTCTAGAAACTTAGTAATTTGCATTTATCCCTTTCGAATATTTTATTGTTCTTGAAAACACTGAGGTGGCTTTAGTCCTATGTACCTGGGCCCGCCACTGGTGCCACACTAAGGTTTTTGAGGATCTGTGGCTGCTGGCTGGATCAGACTACACGGCAGTTAGGTTGTGAATGCAGATGACATGGATTTGCCACTGGATTGTGTTAAAGGGAGAAGGCAACTGTGAAGCCTTCCGTGACCTCATGGGTATGCAGGAGCTGACACCACGTTTAAAGGGTAGTCCTGCCCGTGTTAGTATTGGAAATTGTTTTGCAAGCTTTAAGAAGAAAACTGTTCTTTAAATCACCAGGCTCTGAATTTCTGTTGCCTCCAGCATGAAAAGACACTCCAAAGTCCAGCGAGAAGATTCTTCCACCATCACAGATTCCAGTGAGGTCTGAGATGGATGTAGTGCATCTAGTATTTGAGGATAAACACGGACAGGGTGGATGATGTCCATACTGTCATCATCTCACCTTTTTTTTGCCAGCAGCATACTGGTAGTTTTCTCACTAGAGGCTCAGATCTATGGTGCCAACTGAAGGGATGGCTTCTCTGCACCTCAGTTGAGTGTTGCCCCTTGAAATTTTTGGGCCTAGTATTTCTAGGCTCTACCCCAGTGTCAAGAGTGTCAGCTCAGTAGGTTTTTACAGTGAGAAATTATCACCAAGGTCAGTCGAGCGCACTGTGAATCCATCTCCTGGTTGTTGCGATAAGCCAAAGAAGCCATTGGTGAGTGGCCGGCTTTCACAGGATGGGTTACTGAATGCACAAGAGAGCTGGGAGTTTTGCTAAATTGGGGAGACAGGATTAAACCATGTCAAACTGTATCTAAATTTTATGCAAGGGGACAGTTAAGCACGAACTTCCCACTGCTAACTGGTGGCTTGTCTGTTTTGTTAACTTCCTGCTGTCAAATTAATAACAATTTTCCTGCCACCAGGAGTGTTCTGTGAATATCCCAAGCAATTCTCCATACCTGCCCACCTTGCCTCTTCCAGTACCATATTTGAAATGCTCATTGTTAGACTGTTCACAAAACCTCGTTCATACTGGGTCTAAAACCAATGGTTGCAGCCCACTGAGTATTTATCCACCAGGTCACCATCTAACCTGCTGGCCTATTAAAACCTGCACCCACCTAGCCAACCCTCCCCCACCAGGTACACTCTGTCGGATTGCTGAGAGCAAGATCACTGATTATGAAAGACTGCAAAGTTTCATGCTGTATGAGAAAATAAAGCACAATAAAACCATTGTTCACCATCATAGCTTTGAAAGAACGATCCAACACAAACTATTTTCTTTTAAAGACAGGAATTGAGTGCTATCAATTAATTGAGTGGAGACCATTCAGCCCAGTTGGTTCGAATGTTAATGTGTGGTTCAGACAAACATCAACGGTGCAGGTTTGACTCCAGTCGTGGCAAATATAGACTTGGGACCTGCTTCCTCACCTGAGAGTGTTTCTAAGAGAAGAAAACAATGGCAAACCACTGCTGAAAAAAAGCTCAGGGTGCAGCATTAGCAGACAGTAAGCCAAAGATCTGCCCTCAGGCAGAGCACACATACCATAGCATGCTAATTATAGAAATAATTTACACTGAATTAATTTAGTAATGTAATTCAATCTTTACCTTTGCCATAATGTCAGCATAAGCCATGTAGAGGAAATCTTCTTTGAGATTGCTGAGAAAATCATAAGAAAATGCTCTAAGTAATGATACAGAGTAATTTATAAATTACCTCAGATTTTTTTAGTGGTTGTAGTTTGGTTTAAATAACATGGGCTACAATTCCCAAGGAGTTCTCCTGATCTTCCTCCATATTTTTGGCAGACCATCAACAGAAACTTTCAAGAGTCAACAGAAATGGCTTTTTACATCATTTTGCAGGTTTCCTACTGAAGTTACTACAAGTTATCAGGAGAAGCCCCACAGAAATTCTACACCAGCCAGCAACCAGAATATCAACTACTGTCTTTGTGCAGATTGTTAACAGAAAAGCAACCTAAAGATGTTGAATTAAACTTCCACCTTGTCAATTTGTGGGGAAGAAGTCACAAATCAGATCACTTGTGAATGTGCAGGGCAAAAATGACCATAAAAGATATGCTATTGTAAAAATTCAAATGAACTTTTTATCATTCAGTGAGGGGAACCTGTCATCCTTTCCCAGCCTGCCATCATTTGACAGCAGCGAACTAACGTTTGGTTTGCTTTTTGTGAAAGCTGACCTTCACTCTACTATTAACACATGCACTGGACCAATGGTTTGTCCCCTCTCTGAAACCATTACCACTCCCTTTACAACAAGGTGCAGGGCTGGATGAACACAGCAGGCCAAGCAGCATCATAGGAGCAGAGAGGCTGACGTTTCGGGCCTAGACCCTTCATCAGAACACCACTCCCTTTACCTTTTGTCCTGTAACACCTTTGATCTCTAACCTCCCTCACCCTCTAATCTTTCCCTGATTAACTCCTCCATTCCATTTGTTCCTGCCCACATTTTTAGTAATGCACAACACACCACATATCCACATCTCATCAGTTCTGAAGAGTCATAATGGACTTGAAACATTAACTCTATTTCTCTCTCTGCAGATGCAACCAGACTTGCTGACTTTTTCCAGTATTTTCTGTTCATACATGAAGACACATTGTGGTTGATTCTTATTGTCCGCAGTAACTACTGCTTTGCTGGTACAGTCTCTCTCTTAAGAACAAGAAAAGATCACAAAAAATAAAGCCAGAGTGTCCTCTAAGCTATCCTTTAACCATGCTGTAACTTTGTCCGAAATTTGGTGGAATTGCTATTTACACACAAAGATACCTGTGAGGGAGTGCTGCCAAAGAATTTCCAATGTGCCACAACTAAACGGTCACTTAAAGTGGAGCTAATTACGAAAGATTGCCAGAAAAATACTCAACCCATGTCAAATTCTGACTTCAACATGTAATGAGGTTTAGTTTTTCCAACCGCATCCACTGTTTTCTGAATTTAACTTTAACTTCCTTTTATGTTTATAAACACTTGGAATATCAGTGGAATAAAGAGTCACATTTGTAAAGACTTGATATGAGTTGAACAAAGAATCACAGTTTCTTGAACTTCAGTCCATCTGTGTACTTTATTCTCTCATTATATTTAGTTTTGTGTTCCTCCCTTGTCAAAAGCAAAGACAAAGAAATGCATGTTATAGTAACTTATCCATTAAGCCTACCATTTTTCAGTTAAAGCTGTCCGACTGAAAAGTAGAATAAGTTGGTGAAGAGGGTCAAGGCGTTTGGTTCCCTCCTCTTCATCCACTGGTTTTTCATCCCCTGGTTTCTAAAGAAATAAACAGATGAAGTTATATCTAAACTGAAATTCTGTCAGAAAAATTACGACAATAAATACCCAAAACTATATACCCAAGGTTACTACAGGAAGCAAGGGAAGACATTGCTACACCTTTGGCAATGATCTTTGTGTCCTCACTGTCCACTGGAGTAGTATCAGATGATTGGAGGGTGGCAAATGTTATTCCCTTGTTCAAGAAAGGGAATACGAATAATTCTGGGAATTACAGACCAGTCAGTCTTACTTCTGTAGTGGGCAAATTATTGGAGAGGATTCGGAGAGATAGTATTTATGATTATTTGGAAAAGGACAGTTTGATTATAAATAGTCAGCATGGCTTTGAGAGGGGCAGGTCATGCCTCACAGGCCTTACTGAATTCTTTGAGAATGTACAAAACACATTGCTGAAGGTACAACAGTGAATGTGGTGTATTTGGATTTTAGCAAAGCGTTTGATAAGGTTCCCCATGGTAGGCTCATTCAGAAAGTAAGGAGGCATGGGATTCAGGGAAACTTGGCTGTCTGGATACAGAATTGGCTGTTCAATAGAAGACAGAGGGTGGCAATAGATGGAAAGTATTCAGTCTGAGGCTCGGTGACCAGTGGTGTTCCGCAGGGATCTGTTCTGGGACCTGTGCCCTTTGTGATCTTTATAAATGACTTGGATGAGGAAGTGGAAGGGTGAGTTCGTAAGTTTGCCGATGACACGAAGTTTGGTGGAGTTATGGATAGTGTGGAGGGCTGTTGTAGATTGCAACAGGACATTGACAGGATGCAGAGCTGGGCAAAGAAGTGACAGATGGAATTCAACCCAGAAAAGTGTGATGTAATTCATTTTGGAAGGTTGAATTTGAATGTAGAATACAGGGTTAATGGCAGGATTCTTGGCAGTGTGAAGGAACAGAGGGATCTTGCAGTCGTCGTCTATAGATCCCTCAAAGTTGCCACCCAAGTTGATAGGGTTGTTAAGAAGGCATATGGTGTGTTGGCTTTCATTGGCAGGCGAATTGAGTTTAAGAGCCGCTAGTTATCCTGCAGCTCTATAAAACCCTGGTTAGACCACACTTGGAATATTGTGTTCAGTTCTGGTCACAGGAAAGATGTGGAAGCTTTAGAGAGGGTGCAGAGGAGATTTTCCAGGATGCTGCATGGAATGGAGGGCAGGCCTTATGAGGAAAGGTTGAGGGAGCTCGGGCTTTTCTCATTGGAGTGAAGAAGGATGAGAGGCGACTTGATAGAGGTTTACAAGATGTTGAGAGGCATGGATACAGTAGACAGCCAGAGACTTTTTCCCAGGGCAGAAATGACTATCACGATGGGGCAAAGTTTTAAGGTAATTGGAGGAAGGTATAGGGGTGATGTCAGAGGTAGGTTCTTTACACAGAGTGGTGGGTACGTGGAATGCACTGCCAGCGGTGGTAGTAGAGTCAGATACATTAGGGACATTTAAGCGTCTCTTGGATAGGCACATGGATGATAGTAAAATGAAGGGTATGCAGGTTAGTTTGATCTTAGAGTAGGATAATAGGTCGGCACATCATGGACCAAACAGCCTGTGCAGTGCTGTATTGTTCTATGTTCTATGTATGTTCTAAGTACCATCATGGATAATACAGGTTCTATAACAAAAGCCTTAATATTTACAATACAACTTTCAGTGAAATAAATTGCACAATACATTCTGGACAATTAACTGACTGTAACACTTCATATAACTGAAAAGGAGAAGATCAGCCTTGCAGGACCATAGTCTGTTGTCTTTTGACTTATACAGCTTGTTTTCCAGATCTCGAAAAAGGCACTAACAACAAGACTAAGAACAAGCAGTAGGTCAATCAACATCTTTGAAGTGAACAGACAACTGAGATTCAAACACGAAAACAAGGTCAAAACCTTGACAATCTGTTTCCTGCGAAATGTGCTGGTTGCTTTGTATATTTTGAACTTGTTAATTCAAATTTCCAATATTTGCTCTTCATGTGGCTTTAATCAATAGATCATCCCCATTTCATCTTTCCTTTCTTTTATCAGTGCCCGCTATTTATTATTCCTTCTTGGGACTGGACAGACTTGAAAGCATTTAATGGCTATCCTGAGTTATCCTTAATGAATTAAGAAATTAAATGAGAGGGCAGAGCGCTGGTGTATACTTAAGGCTGAGATAGATAGATTCTTGATTAGTAGGGGAATCAAGGGTTATGGGGAAAGGGCAGGAAAGTAGACATGAGGAATGTTGGATCAGATATGACCCTAAATGGCGCAGCAGACCTACTCCTGTTCGTATTTCTAATGGTCTTAGTTCAAGGTGAGCCATCACATTGAACTACTGCAGTCAGATAGATGGTAGCATTGTAGCAGTATGGGAACATCCGGCTAGAGACCTGGCTGGTTTGGAGTACAAGCCTTCACTACCACACCCAGAATGTCCTATCTACTCAGCCATTTGTTAATATCACGTGGAGTCTGTTTTATTATTTCAAGTGATGAGGTACCTGAAATACTTCTTTCTATCATAGATACCATACAAGTGAAACTTGTTGGTATGTCTATATGTCAGATTCCAGTACGAGAAGTGTGAAAAGTGTGTAGCTTTTCAATGAATGCTGGTAAACCCGTATAACATACTGAACCTGGAAAGTTCACAATGGCAATCTTGTATAATCAATGCAATTTCACTGGAATTAAATTTTCTCCTTTGCGTTGAAATGCTGCTCTGCAAAGTTTATAACAGACATTGATACTCCTCACTCCCCTATTTTAACAAAGGTATTCTGTTCTTTAAAATAGGGCACCATCTTTGCTAAAGCTTAGGACAAAGGAATCAACCACGAATGAATTATTGTACTCATTGTCCACTTCTAACAGAGCAATGAATGAAGTCGTATGTAACAGATTGTTAAGTGATGATGGAATAGCCATCCTGGTAGAAAGGTAAAAACAAAGGCATGAAATTAAGAAAAATGTTTTACATTTCAATTATCTTAGTAGAATGCTCAGAAATTAAGCTGCACAAAAGGTCGATAACTAAATGTGACTCACAGCTATATCCTCTATTAGCTTGTCTTCAAAATAATGTTCCTCAGTCTCAATCCAGGACTTTTCATAGCCTTGAAGGAAGAGATTGACAGCTCGGTGCCTGAAGGGACATAACAGCAATGACAATTATGACACATTATTTGCTTTGCTTGTTACATTAGTACTATATTACTCTCTGTATAATGTTAAACTGATTATGTTGCAAGCTGTAGCCCATGTTGTAGCACTGTCCTGTCAGTCATTGTCATTTGTTAAAGTAAAATCAGACCATTTCCAACTTCAAGCTAGATTTCTTCATCTGCCTCAATCTGATTAGGGTACTTTTTTAATTACATAAAAAATAAATGTCTACACCAATATAAATTGGCTTCTAATCTCTCATCTGAAAATCTCTGTTAATAAACAAAGGTGCCTATCTTCAAAACAATTTTCAAAATAGCAGTATTTATTTCTTTCATTTTGTAAAGTATATCACAAATATCAAAAACCCATGAGAAATAAAATTTATAAGAAATATTTTGCTGAAATTCAGTGGCATTGAAAATTACTTTTAGGAACTGCATTCATTTCTAGGAAGGACACATTGGCTGAAGAAAGTTTGTAAGAGAATGACAGAAGCATTAAATGATGTATTGACCAGGCTTGCACATCCTTTTGGTATAAGAGATTAATGGCTGATCTCATTGAAATGTTTAATATTATTAAAGCAGTTAATAAGGTGGATATAGAGAAACTATATCCTCTGTTGAACATAGGACCATAACTTTAAAATAGGAGGTCAGTTGTTCATGTGTGACATCACAAAAAGGGAAGTGAAAATCTCGCACACTCTTCCTCAAAGCGCTGTTGAGATTAGATCAACAGAAAGTCTCAGGACTGAGAATTTGTTAGGGAAGGGTACCAAGGGTTACTGAACCAATTAAGGTAGGTAGACAGAGTTAAGATACAGGTCGACCATGATCTCACTGAATGGTGGAATATACTTAAGCAGCTAAATGACCTAATCAAGTTTCTACATGAAGCTAATGCCAATACTCCATTTGCCTAATGGTGTTCCTGTTGACAGCAATACCAAGTTTATCGGCAGTGTATTGCAATGGTTCATCATGCAGCCTCTGAAGATTCCAGGATCTGCCAGATGTTTTATAAAAGTTCAGACGATGGCCTGCCATCAGTTTCATTCAGAAAAAAAAACAATACGTTTGTTCCAGCATCAGCATATGTGTTCATCTGTCTTTATCAGCCGCACATGTGGCCAGGATACAACGCCAAGTAAACATGAGTAAAGTGTAACTGACAGTCGGTAGAGCAATATTCCCCCAGAACTTTCACAGCCATGTCAAAGCAGCTTGGGTGATGAGTTTTGGCAGCATCTAGAAAGGCAGAGACACTCCAAGTGCACTGTAAATGTTACCATCTGCTACCAGATATGTGTTCATTATTGAGCAACTCAGCCTGTCTATATGATGCATCTTGCCAGTTGTTAGTACTCCTGTTACAGGAATGAATATCTGCACTTTTAAAACCACATTCCTCCCTTAACTATGTCTTTGTCACCTTCAGAGTAGATCTCTCTAGTACTCTTCCTAGTTACATCATAGAAAAATATTCTACCTGTCAAATGCACCATTGTCCAAGTCCTATCTCCTGAAATAAATTAGTATTAGTTTGTGGTCATTCTTGAAAAATTATAAACATTATAAAATATTAAACATTGATAAATTCCCTAGACCAGATGAGCTACATCCAAGAATATTGAAGATGGTGGCTATAGGGATAATGGATGCACTGGAGATGATATTTCAAAATTCTATAGATTCTGGAAAAGTTCCTGTAGACTGTAAAGTAGCAAATGTAACCCCATTATTTAAGACAACAGGGAGAGAGAAAGTAAGAAGTACAGACTCATTACTTTAATGTCAGTCATTAGGAAAATGATATAATCTATTATAAAGGATGTGATAACTGGAATACTTAGAAAATAACAATATGATTGGGCAGAGTCAACATGGCTTTATGAAAGAGAAATCATGTTTGTCAAACGTGTTGGAGCCTTTGAGAATGTTGCTTGTTTCATAGATAAACGAGAACCAATGGATGTGGTGCATTTAGATTTAAAGATAGTAAATAAAAAATAGTAAGTAATAAAAAGTAATGAATAAAGTAAATAGGTTCTAAGAGATCTGAGTGTCCTTGTATCCCAGTCACTGAAATTAAGCAAAGAGATGCAGCAGGCGGTAAAGAAAGCAAATGTACAGTACCTAATGTTAGGGACCAAACCAAACCCCTCCAAAATTTATTAAGAATTTAAGTTAAACCCTAGCTTTTCTTATTTTAAAGGTAAGTGTAAGGTGTTGCATTCCAGATGCAATTTGATTGGTCAAACTACTCGACATAAATAAAACCCACTATTTTTATACTACAGTTAAAATACGGACAAAATAATAAAATAATTGGCTTAACTGTAACTTTGCTGGAATGCTTAACAAAATAATATATATTAACCTCTGCTAATTTATTGTCCCAGTATAGTACCATCGCATAAATATGCTCTTGGCAAAGGCAAATTCAGTAAAACAGATTGCCTCACGTGTATTTCTAACAGCAGGAAGAGAACCCCAGCTTTTAGCTATAATAGGGAGAGGATTAACAGCATCCAGCTTCAAGACCCCAGCAACTGCTGAAGCTAAAACGAAAAATCCTGGTTCTGTGGGAGCTTGACTCCACACATTCATGCTGCTATTATTGTTCCAACTTCTAAAAAAGGCCCAAGGCCTCACAAACTGTTTACTCTAGTAGCCGGCGCAGACCACCCGACACCTCTGCCTCAACTTTTCTTCGTAAAAGATACCAGGACATAATGCACCTCCTCAAGCATAGTACCATCACACTAAAGTACAGGAGTAAACATGTCTTGCTGCAGTTGTATAAAACCTTGATGAGACCACACCTGGATATTTTGTACAGTTTTGGTCTCGTTATCTAAGGATATACATACTTGCCACACAGGGAGTGTAATGGAGGTTCACCAGATTAATGAGTAGAGATTGAAGAAGCTGGGCCCGTTTTCTCTCAAGTTTCAGCAACTAAGAGGTGATCTCATTGAAAATTTCAAAGTTCTTTTGCAGGGTATGACAGGAAAGATGCGAATTTCCCCTGCACTGTGACAAGGACGAGCTGATCTGTGCATGGAAAGATGTAAATGCTGAATACAGGTTCATTAACTATGGTGAGAAGAGAGACAATTCCTACCGTGGTAAATTATAGAGTGGAGCCATCCGGAAGCAGGCCACAACTGCTCGTTTACGTTGCTTTGACAGCAGCTTGTGCCAGACAGCCTTTTTAGATCTCTGGGGATGCTCCACCTAATGCATAAAGTAGAAATGCAAAGCTCAGGCTTGCCATTACAATTGTGAGACCAATTGTGACAAAAATGGACCAGTCATCATCAGTTTAACCAATTCTTGAATTTATTCTCATCACACCCACAATGATGAGATTGTACATGAGTTAACCAGTATTTTAAAGTTTGAAGCTAAAGCCCATTTGAAATCATACGATCAGACATTTTCATTCATTGTGTACTGACACAAAATTGCTTCGTTTCTAAAAAAAAACACCAAAAGGATGTTAAGACAGCAGCTTTATAATGGGCTCAACAAGGTGTAACTTAGATCATTTCGGGTTTTTATCTAGGACTTATAGGGGCATGTATGCAACTTGGGGAATGATAGGTCTGCAGGGCTATAACAAAGGACATGTAATCAACCTCATTGTGATCTGATTTCATCAACTCAGGTTGAATAATGTGTGGACTGAAAGGTGGAAAAGAATAATTCCTCATCAGAATTAGGACACTAAGGACAGAAGCATTGCCAGGGACTGGGGGGTTGGGAGCGATTCATTGTGGGGAGCTAAGCAGAAACTTAGTAGCAGATCATTAGAGAAGAACAGAAATATAGAGTAGTGGAGGCCGAGTGTTTCCTTATGGCATGAAGGAGCACTCCTACTCCTCTTAAGCCACAATAAGACACGAAAATATTACATTTATTTACCTTTATGGTGGTCTTCAGGGTCTGCTCCTGAATGGTGCCAGGTTTCCCCAGCAAAGCCAGCACTAGCTCCAAGGTGTACAATCGCTTGTCAAAATGTTATTTAGGTCTAAGTGACGTTATCACCAATAACCTTTCCATTTCTATAAGGCCCACACCAGCGTGGGCAAAAGTAGTATGTGATGGGAAGTGGATGTAAATCCGGTTGGGTCAGGTGCTGCTCCCATTTTAGCCCTAATGCCCTGATTCTGATACAACTGTTTACATTGGGAATCAGAGATTGAAGTTGAATCTCGGTAATGGAAGACTGGGCAGAGTGGTGTGACCCTTGCAGTAATGCAAGGAACAACAAGACACAGCAATGGAAGGAATGTAAAATCATTTCAGGTTTATGAACTGATTGGCCTTCCTCGTTTATGTAATAGTATCAGCCGACTCGTAATCCAAAACCCCAGGCGAACGGTCTGGGGACATGGGTTAAAATCCATCTATCACAGATGGCTATATTTGAACTCAATAAGAAAAAGGTGGAATTTTAAAAAAGCTGGACTAATGGCGACTATGTAACCACAGCTGATTGTCATAAAAACCCATATGGTTCAAAATGTTCCTCAGAGGAGGAAATCTGCAGTCCTCAGCTGGCTTACCATACTATACCATAGCAGACACATGGGAGGACCACTACCTTTAAGTTCCCCTCCAAGCCACTCCCCATCCTGACTTGGAAAGATATCGCCGTTCCTTCACTGTCGCTGGGTCAAAATCCTGGAATTCCCTACCTAATAGCATTATGGGTCAACCCACAGCAGGAGGACTGCAGCGGTTCAAGAAGGCAGCTCACCACCACATTGTCAAGGCCAATCAATGCTGCCCAGTCAATGAAACCCACATCCCACAAATGAGTGAACAAAAAGCTCAAAACTCACTGCAATGTGATTGACCCTTAATTAGGAGCGGGCAATTAATGCTGGACTAGTCAGCATTACCCACATCCTGTGAACAAATCCAAAAATAGCATCAGAAATACAGCACACAGAATGCCACACCAATGGACTTACTGGATAAAATTCTCAACAGTCTTCAGTGGCATAGAAAATGATGAGAAGGTTAGGATAATGTTTGAAAATGGACAAATCAGACTCTCAACATCAAGAAAAAATGTACCAACTTTTCCCTTAAGAAATGAAATAGGTATTTCTGAATCTCACAAATGAGCAGCGACTACCTTATTGTATCTCAGTATTAGGTAATGTCCCCTCATTTCTATATACTTTCTAATTCTCCCCCCCTTCCTCTAAAAACTAGATGGTGTCAATTTCTGACACAAAGGTCAGAACGGTTACCTGGCGGCAGATGTTCAATGCTTTTCTGGGATTTAGGACAACTCGATGTTTACCACCATTTCCCTGGGCACCATCATCTTCCACCCTTTGTCCATGTAAATAGGCATTGCCAAACCACCAGCCTCACATCATCATCATAACTGTTTTCAGACCAGCTCTTACACCAGTTCAGCCCTCCAGGACTTTACCTTGTAGCTCGGGGACATTTACGTCTTGCACACTTCTGCCAAATTGCTTAATGCACAGGGACACATGTGTATCTCATGTATCTACACAAGATGCATCTTAGAATCATAAAATCCCCACAGTGTGGAAGCAGACCATTCAGCCCACTGAGTCCACACCAACCCTCCGAAGAGCATCGCACACAAACCCACCCCCTATCCTATTCCCTATGAATAATCCACCCAGCCTCAACATCCCTGGATACTATGGGCAATTTATCATGGCTAATCCACCTAACCTGCACATCTTTGGACTGTGGGAGGAAACCCATGCAGACATGGGGAGAATGTGCAAACTCCACACAGACTGTCGCCCAAGGGTGGAATTGAACCCAGGCCCCTGGCACTGTGAGGCAGCAGTGCTAACCACGCAGCCACCATACCACCCAAATCTTATGATTCGTAGCTTAGTTTCTTAGGGCTCGCTCACTTTGCACTGACTCGGAGGCTGTCAGGTTCTCTGGTTTGCATTGCTTTTTAGTGTGTAGGTTCTTCTATTCCAATTTACAGGCTGTCAGCTTCTTTGGACTGCATTGGTGTTTGGTGCAGACAGAAAGGCAGGCACCATGTCACTGCGCAGAGCACACAACAGTCGAAGACGTGGGTATATTGCTGCGCAGGCTTGTGCAACCTCAATGTCATGCCTGCAGTATGTGCCAGCCACTTACGCACAAACATACTGCACATGTTCCAACCAAATGGCAATGTCTGGATGTCAAAGGACACCAGTCCTTAGTGCAGTCAATGACTCTTTCATTGTCACTGAGCATGTCATCTGCTGGAGCACGACTTGTGCTCAAATGGGGACTTCAATACCAGTCTCCCAATGCTTGGCCCAGACCTGCACCCACGATTTCACTAACTTCATTTTCTCCAGGTTGCACCAGTTTATATCCTCCCTCTGTGACAAGCAGTTAGGTAGCCTGGGCAGCAGGATTGTTAAACATCGCTGGCTTCCCCCAGATGCAGGGCTCTATAAGTTTTGCTTTGAAAGTGCCCTATCACCAAGTTCATCAACAGAAAAGGCTTCCACTCCATCAATGCCCAGATTACCTGTGACCACGAGTGACAGATCTTAGTGAGCTCAGCGCTGTCATGGTGCATGCATGCTGGAGAAATCAAGATCCCTGCCTCCTTCCAAGGATCTCAGGCTAAATAGCCATCGGGCTGCTGGGACAGAAGGGGCATCCCCACCAAACATGGCTGATGACACCTTTACAAAACAGTCACACTGACAGAGAAGAGAGTTACAACACTGGTTAAGCTTTCAGCTGACCACAGCAGAACAGACAGTAGGACTCCTTAACATGAGGTTTTGCTGCTTGGACTGCTGACTTGACATATCACTGGGGCAAGCTGTGCCTACCAGAACTGAAGCCTATAATCTCCTGGATGAGGAGGAAGTGGCAAATCCATAGTGATTCCCTGATGATGCGATTGAGGTTCAGGATATTGACGTGGGAGACATTCAAGAGACCATGATAGAGCTATGCATCAGCAAAAGCAAGAGGCCAGACACAATCCCATTGACGCTCCCTCCCAGGATGAATGAACTGGGTTTGGACTTCCTTTCACTGTGTTCTGTTCTGCTGGTTACATGGCAAGCAGCCCTTGGTCAGAGATAGTAGGAACTGCAGATGCTGGAGAATCTGAGATAACAAAGTGCAGAGCTGGATGAACGCAGCAGGCCAAGCAGCATCAGAGGAGCAGGAAGGCTGACGTTTCAGGCCGAGAACCTTCTTCAGAAATGGGGGAGGGGAAGGGGGTTCTGAAATAAATAGGGAGAGAGGGGGAGGCGGATAGAAGATGGATAGAGGAGAAGATAGGTGGAGAGGAGACAAACAGGTCAAAGAGGCGGGGATGGAGCCAGTAAAGGTGAGTGTAGGTGGGGAGGTAGGGAGGAGATAGGTCAGTCCAGGGAGGATGGACAGGTCAAGGGGGCAGGATGAGGTTGGTAGGTAGGAGATGGGGGTGGGGCTTGAGGTGGGAGGAGGGGATAGGTGGGAGGAAGGACAAGTTAGGGAGGCGGGGACAAGCTGGCCTGGTTTTGGGATGCAGTAGAGGGAGGGGAGATTTTGAAGCGTGTGAAGTCCACATTGATACCATTGGGCTGCAGGGTTCCCAAGCGGAATATGAGTTGCTGTTCCTGCGACCTTCGGGTAGCATCATTGTGGCACTGCAGGAGGCCCAGGATGGACACGTTGTCTGCGGAATGGGAGGGGGAGTTGAAATGGTTCACGACTGGGAGGTGCAGTTGTTTAGTGCGAACCGAGCATAGGTGTTCTGCAAAGCGGTCCCTAAGCCTCCACTTGGTTTCCCCGATGTAGAGGAGGCCACAACGGGAACAGCGGATACAGTATACCACATTAGCAGATGTGCAGGTGAACATCTGCTTGATGTGGAAAGTCTTCTTGGGGCCTGGGATGGGGGTGAGGGAGGAGGTGTAGGGGCAGGCGTAGCACTTCCTGCGGTTGCGGGGAAAAGTGCCGGGTGAGGTGGGGCTGGAGGGGAGTGTGGAGCGGACAAGGGAGTCAAGGAGAGAGTGGTCCCTCCGGAAGGCAGATAATGGTGGGGAGGGAAAAATGTTTTTGGTGGTGGGGTCGGATTGCAGATGGCGGAAGCGTCGGAGGATGATGCGTCGGGTCCGGAGGTTGGTGGGGTGGTATGTGAGGACGAGGGGGATTCTATTTTGGTTGTTATTGTGGGGAAGGGGTGTGAGGGATGAGTTGCGGGAATTGCGGGAGACACGGTTGAGGGCGTTCTTGACCACTGAGTGGGGGAAGTTGCGGTCCTTGAAAAACGAGGACATCTGAGATGTACGGGAGTGGAATGCCTCATCTTGGGAGCAGATGTGGCGGAGGCGAAGGAATTGGGAATGGGGATGGCATTTTTGCAGGAAGGTGGGTGGGAGGAGGTGTATTCTAGGTAGGTGTGGGAATCAGTGGGCTTGAAATGGATATCGGTTTCTAGGTGGTTGCCGGAGATGGAGACAGTCATCTCCAACTGCCGTCGTGACATCAATTGCCTCAACCTCTCCACCCGTCTCACCCACTCCAACCTCTCCCCCGCAGAACGTGCAGCCCTCCGCTCCCTCCACTCCAACTCCAACCCCAACCTCACCATAAAACCCGAGGACAAGGGAGGCGCAGTTGTAGTATGGCGCACTGACCTCTACATCGCCGAGGCCAGGCACCAACTCTCCGACACTTCCTCCTACCACCCCCTTGATCACGACCCCACCCCCGACCACCAAAGCATAATCTCCCAAACCATCCACAACTTCATCACATCAGGTGACCTCCCACCCACAGCCTCCAACTCATCGTTCCCCAACCCCGACCGCCCGCTTCTATCTCCTTCCCAAAATCCACAAACCTGAATGCCCTGGTCGACCCATTGTCTCCACCTGCTCTTGCCCCACCGAACTTATCTCCAACTATCTGGACTCCATTTTCTCCCCCTTGGTCCAGGAACTCCCTACGTACGTCCGTGACACCACCCACGCCCTCCACCTCCTCCAGAACTTCCAATTCCCCAGGCCCCAACACCTCATCTTTACCATGGATGTCAAGTCCCTATACACCTGCATTCCCCATACAGATGGCCTAAAGGCCCTCCGCTTCTTCCTGTCCCACAGGCCCGACCAGTCCCCCTCCACTGACACCCTCATCCGCTTAGCCGAACTCGTCCTCACCCTCAACAACTTCTCTTTCAATTCCTCCCACTTCCTACCGACAAAGGGGGTGGCCATGGGTACCCGCATGGGCCCAAGTTATGCCTGCCTCTTTGTAGGTTAAGTGGAACAATCCCTTTTCCGTACCTACACCGGCCCTAAACCCCACCTCTTCCTCCGTTACATTGATAACTGTATCGGCGCCACCTCGTGCTCCCACGAGGAGCTTGAACAGTTCATCCACTTCACCAACACCTTCCACCCCAACCTTAAGTTCACCTGGACCATCTCTAATACCTCTCTCTCCTTCCTGGACTCTCTGTCTCCATCTCTGGCAACCACTTAGAAACCAATATCCATTTCAAGCCCACCAACTCCCACAGCTACCTAGAATACACCTCCTCCCACCCACCTTCCTGCAAAAATGCCATCCCCTACTCCCAATTCCTTCACCTCCGCCGCATCTGCTCCCAGGATGAGGCATTCCACTCCCGTATATTTCAGATGTCCTCGTTTTTCAAGGACCGCAACCTCCCCCCATCAGTGGTCGAGAACGCCCTCCACCGTGTCTCCTGCATTTCCCGCAACTCATCCCTCACAACTCCTCCCCAAACAAAACAGAATCCCCCTCGTCCTCACGTACCACCCCACCAGCCTCCGGATCCAAAGCATCATCCTCCGACACTTCCGCCATCTGCAATCCAACCCCACCACCAAAGACATTTTTCCCTCCCCACCCTTATCTGCTTTCTGGAGGGATCACTCTCTCCGTGACTCCCTTGTCCGCTCCACACTCCCCTCCAGCCCCACCTCACCCGGCACTTTTCCCCGCAACCGCAGGAAGTGCTACGCCTGCCCCTACACCTCCTCCCTCACCCCCATCCCAGGCCCCAAGAAGACTTTCCACATCAAGCAGATGTTCACCTGCACATCTGCGAATGTGGTATACTGTATCCGCTGTTCCCATTGTGGCCTCCTCTACATCGGGGAAACCAAGTGGAGGCTTAGGGACCGCTTTGCAGAACACCTACACTTGGTTCGTACTAAAGAACTGCACCTCCCAGTCGCGAACCATTTCAACTCCCCCTCCCATTCCGCAGACGACATGTCCATCCTGGGCCTCCTGCAGTGCCACAACGATGCCACCCGAAGGTTGCAGGAACAGCAACTCATATTCCGCTTGGGAACCCTGCAGCCCAATGGTATCAATGTGGACTTCACAAGCTTCAAAATCTCCCCTCTCCCTACCGCATCCCAAAACCAGCCCAGCTTGTCCCCACCTCCCTAACCTGTCCTTCCTCCCACCTATCCCCTCCTCCCACCTCAAGCCGCACCCCCATCTCCTACCTACTAACCTCATCCCGCCCCCTTGACCTGTCCATCCTCCCTGGACTGACTATCTCCTCCTCATCTCCCCCTACACGCACCTCTACTAGCTCCATCCCCGCCTCTTTGACCTGTCTGTCTCCTCTCCACCTATCTTCTCCTTTATCCATCTTCTATCCGCCTCCCCCTCTCTCCCTATTTATTTCAGAACCCCCTTCCCCTCCCCCATTTCTGAAGAAGGGTCTCGGCCTGAAACGTCAGCCTTCCTGCTCCTCTGATGCTGCTTGGCCTGCTGTGTTCATCCAGCTCTACACCTTGTTATCTCAGCTCTTGGTCAGTATGCAGTACATGTCGAGACAGAAACAAACTTAATGTTTCAAGATTCTTCTTCAACAATGTTAATACTGTTTCTTTCTCCGTGAGCTTCTCCTGTATTCTCTGTTTTTGTTTCAGATTTCCAGCATCTGCAGTATTTAATCTTTATTACAATATATCTGAACCTAGTTATTTCTGCACTCCTTCAAATATTTTATTGTCTGTCCATTATTGCCCAGAGGGCAGCTGAGAGACAACCAACATGGTGGACACAGATTTCCTTCCTTAAAGCACATTAGAGAACCAGATGGGTTTCTATGACAATTGACAGTGGTTTCTATTCGACTAGCTGTATTTTTTTTTCCCCCTTCTTTTCCAGAATTCTTTATTATATTGAATTCAAATTTGACTCCCTGGCATGGTGGGATTTGAACCCATGTTCTCGGAAGATTAGCCTGGAGTTCTGGATTACCAGTCCACTGACATTACCACTATGTCATCACCGACCAGCACCGTTGAGGCCTGATGCATAATTAATGAGCTGAGGAGTAGAAGATTGCGTGGAAAAGTTGACATGGACTGTGGTGGATTGTCCACTACAGATCTCACTCGAAAAGTACTTTGGCAAATAAAGATGGGACACTTCAGCTGCCAGCTCCAAAAGATTGCCGAATTTCTTAATCCTGATAATCCTGTTGACATTTCGAAGTATTACCGCAAATACAATCCAAAGCTATTACCTCTTTCAGACAGGCATCTTGTTAATGCACACAAATTAAGGTTCTATCATCCCCACAGGACCTGGGTTTAATACAGCTGTATGAACAAGAGCCGTGTGCTTTACACATTTCAGTGACTGCAATCAGGTGTGAGGTCATTTAACCAGTCATTTTCAAAAGGGCACTGCAGGCCTCACAAAACTCTTCCCACCTGCTGCAAACCTTTTCTATTCTCTTCATTTGGTGCACCCTCACTTGCTTCCCATTGTAACTCATCCACTTCACCCCATTTAACTCTAATTTAAAATCAGCACATCAGAAATTATGTGTATCCAAATTATAATCACTTAAATTAAAACCTCAGACCTGCTCCAAGTGGAAGATCACATTGGCAATATCCAGCACACGTATCACTGTTTTCTCTGGATCAGATGAAGCTTCATTCCTGTTAGGTAGATCTTTGTAAAGGGCCATCTGCCACCTAATGGCAGGATCTTCCAACTGTGGGAAAGGACAAGAGTCAGTGATACACACAGCAGCATGCATGAGCAAAGCTAATGCTTTTGAAACCCCTGGGCAAATGTTTTATTAAAGCTCACGTTTAACTCTGTTTAGTTCAGAATGCAGCACCTCTGACCAAGCAAATAAATAAATGTTTTCAATTACTACTTTACTGCACTACTCACCCTATTGCTGTTAAAATCTAGCCACTTCTGGAGTTTGAACAAATTTAAACAGTGGTCAGAAAAGTAGGATGAAAAGATACAGAAAACAATTGTATACTTATGTAAAAGTATGGACTGTCCTGAGTATGTCGTAAGGCTGTATCTAATAGCAACAGTTTAGATGTTCAGAAGTTATAACATCAAAGGGTTAAATGATTTCTGAACGTTATCTAAAATTTGAGATTAAACTAGAGTATTACATTTTCTCTATAATGTTTTTAATTTTTCATAGCATAAATAGCTTCACTAAAATGAAAACAATATTAAAATCAAAGCAAAGCTGAAGAGAAAGTAAATGATTGAAAACAATGAGTAACCATTATATCATGACTGCAGAACACTACAATCATGTGATTATAGAAACCAGCATATGAAAAAATAATCAGGTTTTGGGAATGATTACAAAGCAGCCAACCTCAAGATCTGAGACATTCAGGAAATGTCAAAAATGCAAAAATAAAATCCAAATAAAATGGTTACAGAATCCTGGGAAAGGATTAAGGTTGTAGCATTGAGATCATTTCTGTTTTGTTGTACTTATTACAATATTTGTATTATTCAAAATAAGCAGGACTTTATTCCAGTCTACTGGTCTTTTTATCACTTTCCCTGACGTTATAATGATGGATCCATGAGTGTTTGCCATCAATACGCTCTCCAAACTTTGAAACTGACAGCACTTAGGGAGTATGCAAATGTACAGAATAACATGGAAATGCAGAAGGTGCTGTCAGTAATTCTAAGCTCCTCCAGCAGGTGTATTAATAAAGTCCTCAAGAGTGAAATCCCTAAGCAATCAGTGAATTAATGAAACATTCTACTTCTTCACTCTTAGTTTAATTGTAAAAAATATTGAAAAAGTTGCACCGAGTTGCATGAGGTGCTACAGGGTTTATAGTCATGTACCAAATTATTAACTACTGCTGAAAGGCTAAGTTTATAATTGAGGAATGTTAAATCATTGTGATAAAAAAAACATAAGTTTTAAAATAACATTTTTAGAAGTTAGTTCATAATAGTTTAGCTTTGATCTTAATACAGTCTCAATCAGAAACATTTATTCTGCTTTCTGAAATAAGGAGATTCAGCACTTTTAACTTCCTGGATAGTTGTCTGTGAGAATATTTTAATGTCATTGGCTGCTTCCCCTGCATCCTGACATTACTGTTACTGGTCACCCTGAAATCTCCTTGATTTGTCACTAGATTTAAATGGCCATCAGAAAAGGGAGTCTACTTTAGACAGACTACTGGATCTTTATGCATGGGCAGCTTTCTTTGAAGTCAGTGGCAAGCATTGTTGCTTCTCTATTCACTGCAATGTTTTATCATTAACCTGTTCAGATATATTGAGACACATCACCCTTCGGCCCAGAGATAGTGACACTAGGCGACCCCTTCGGTTACTTTTAATCAATCTGCTCCAACATGTTACATCTCCAAGCCAGGTGCAATGTGAACATGGATCCCCTGACCTAGAGGCATGGACACAACCAATGCACCTTGAGACTCCCTCTAAAACTCATTTTGGTCAACCCATTTGAAAATGTTCTGAAATAAAACAAAGAGTTGTGGATGCTGGGAGTCTGAAATGAAAACAGAAATTGCTGGAGAAACCCAACAGCTCTAGCAACATTTGTGGAGAGAAAGCAGAGTTAACATTTTAGGTCCAGTGACCCTTCTTCAGACATGTTAAGTTGCCAGACCTGCTGGGTTTCTCCAACAATTTCTATATCTGGAAATATCCTGACACTCTCCCAGAATAGGTGGAACTTCTGGCCCAGGGATTTGGACACTGTCATCATTCTACAAAATCCCATGGATATGTTTCTTAATTAATCTATTTAGACATGTTATGACACATGTCTGGGGCAGGCAGAACTCAAACATAGACCTTTTGGCTCAGAGATAGGAACACTACCACCGTGACACAGAACTCAAACATAGACCTTCTGGCTCATAGATAGGAATACTATCACTGTGACACAAGACCACTTGGCCACTAACGCTCACTTAGTATGTGCATTTGACTGATGATTATGGATACAGCAAAGTGTCAATAGCTGTGGTGTATTCACTGCATTTTAATGAAAGGACATTAGGTGGTCGATCATTAATGTTAAAAGGTGGCTTATTCAGCAATTTTCTTTCAAAGAACTGAGCTGAGATCTCAGTATACACTAAAAGTCAAATGATCTAATGTATTTACTTAATTTACAAATAGTATCCCTAAACTCACTTCTATATAATGTACAGGTTGCATTAGAAAATATGGCATAACCCTTGCAGTCAAAGAAGGCAAAAAAAAAGGAACTGGTACACTGCAAATTCCCAGTAATTTGATATACTTTCAAGACAAAAAGAAGAAGATAATTTATAAGAAAAATTCTGGTTGGATAACAATTCTATACACAAAATTAATGGAAGAGAATCAATAAGTATTCCATGGTATAAGTAAATTATTATCAAAATTTGAGGTGTTGTTGTCAAAGCACTACAGACCAATTGTATTGAAACTAATATCAATCATTCCTTCACTCACATCTGAACGTCAAATAGGACATTCCATAACATTAAAAAATAAATTGTGATAGCACATTGTATAAAGGCAAATATTTTTATAAACATACACAAAAAGCTCTATTCTACTGAAAAATAAATAACACATAGAACATCAACACCCCACAGAAGAGTAAGCATCTCTTTTTATTAGTAATCAATGCAATTATTCTGATTACACAACTACCTTGTATGTCTAGACACAGCTTGTAGCACCCAAGCAAACCATGCAATGTAGAAGACTTTTCCACTTTTGGGCCTCACCTAGGTTTAGCAAACAGCATCTCAAAATGCTCTTGAGGGTCTTAGAGTGTCTCTTCATGGACACAGCCAACGAAAGGGGTTTTATTTTTGCAAGCTGGTAAAGGAGCTCATTGATCTCTGAAAATAATGACCAGTGAGCAGAGTGTTTTTGCATGGTCAATTTTTTAAAAATGTAAGTGCTGGCATATCTGAACCAGAGTTAGTGAGCCATGAGATGGATTTGGAAGATTTGCTCCACATCTATTTCACAACTATGGTTAGTCTCTTCAGCAGTGTCTTGAAATAAAAGGCTTGATACTGAAAGGCAGCATGCAATTATGCAGAAAGAGAGAGGTAGATATGTGAAATGAGCAGCTAAAATAATTTACAATCAAGCAGGCACAGCATTGCAACTTGTACGTAATTCATGCTTAAGCATAGTAGTGCAATCAATAGAGAGCAAATTCACAAATACACAATGCTGCAATTGCTTAGCAAGTGGACAGTAACTCGGAAACCTACTTTCCCCTGAAGGTGAAGATTATTGCGAATTATTTCTCTAACTTCATCTTCCGTATCTTTCTGTTTTAAGAAGGAAAATTAATTAAATTTCAGCAAACTACCTTCAAAAGACCCACAAGATCATGTAACTCTAATAATGCATGAGGTAAATAGTAACACAGATTCTTTGGTGAGCAGCACGTTGTTGTAATTTCCAGCAATGTCTTAAAATTCATTTCCCAAAATACTTGTATAAGTATTTAGATTATTGAGATTTACACAGGTCCAATAATTTCTGAAGCACAGTACATTAACACATCAATTGTTCGTGTGGCAGTATCCTTCAGGTGTTTCTGCAATTCTACTAATAACAGGAGTGAGTAGTGCAATCTTTCCCCTGTGTTGTTATTTATCATGTTTCACACAATAAAACTACTAAAGAGTTAGACAACCAAGCTTAGAAATTACTCTGAATACATTCTTGCTTAAGATTTATATGGACTGATGTGACCATTTTGTATCTGAGAAGTACACAGGAATGAGGCAGAATAACAGCAAAACTGGAATCTTATTAAGATTCATCAGAAATAATGCTGTTAAATACCTGTTCAAAGATAGAATCAGGTACCTAAGCCTCTTAAACAACATTGAGTATCCAATTTCAACTGCTTGCGGAATTATTTCCATTCAAGAAAAAGGAATTTAAGACAAAAAGGAAAATACAATTTAAATATCAGACTTGGAAAGCTGTGACAGAATTATCAAGGAAGAAGCAAAACATAATCTGTCAATTAGAAGTTTAACACTTCCCAGAAATTGAGGGTTAATTGACATAAAGTGAGATCACTGAGCAAATGATGCTGCATTGGGTGATAACAGCAACCTGTAGGATGTCCAGACAAAGATATATGACATGAAAAAAATGAACAAGCTGAGAATTCAAAGTTTCAGTCTATAGCAGAAGATTATCTAAATTTGGAGGACCATAGAATATTGAAGATTGAAAGAAACCTGCCACATTTGATGGGAATAGGAGGCTTCACAGATTGTTATTTCGCTTCCATACTCTCCAACTTGTGATATCTGGCCATCAATGATGATGAGTGGCTAATTACTGCATGGCAAATGCAGAGGCAAAAATATCCTAGGCTTTCATACCAAAGCCTTTGCCCCATGACATCAGACTAATTGTCCAAATACACTTCTAATAGGAAACCACAAATCAAATGCAGACTAGGCTTTACAGCTCGTTATCAGTTCAGGATAAATAAGTTGCGAGACGAATGAAAGACAGTTGGCTCTCAATTTGCTGGCTAGCCAGACCATTATCTCATCCTACATATTAATAACAGTCATAGCAAAAAGCAAGCAGGCACAGCAAAACAAAATACAACAGAACATTGCCAGCTGACAGTGCAGGTAGATTGAGGTGTACTGCATTAGAATCCCAAGGAACTCATGTGTAACCAGCCCACACAGCTAATCAACTGCAGAGTCACTGAAGAGCAGAAATAGGCAATTAACACAGACTTGTATTCATAGACAGGACACAAGCATAGCACCCAACATAAAGGAAGCGAGTGATATTAAAAATTCTCCTACACAACATTATCGTATATCAGCTTCATTTAGTTGGTAGCATTTCTCTCTGACTCAGAAGGTGTAGCACGGTGCCATACTAAGGGCGTGCTGCATTGCTACTGTGAATTAAATATCCCAATATCTGCAAAAGGGCAAGAAATTCTCTTGACATTCTACAGAATATCCTTCACAAAACCAAATCTGTAAAAGCAGATGAATTGGTTATTTTGGTCATTGCTCATGAGATCTTTAAATGCAGAGCATGATTGTTGAATTTATTGTCTTAAGTTACTTGACTTTAATGCCATTCATTGTATGTGATGGATCTGGAGACAATGATAAGGCATGATAACAATGCAAGCCTTTCTATACAAACCTCCTGAGGCACTTTTCAGCTGTGAGACTCATAGAGATCTACTTCCATTTGTTCATGGAGTATCTGTGGAGATGTGTGTATGAGTTCAATGGACGCCTATTACCCTGACCATCCTATGCTGTTCCTCTTTAATTACTTGGTGCACTCACTCAGTTTGTAACTGCACTGCTCCTTATTCTGTTCATTCAAACAAATGTAAGTTATTAGGCAATCCCTCAATAAGCGTAAATGCTTTAACTGGCACAGAGACACATCCCTGTGATGCTACAGTGCTTTTCAGAAATGTTACAGTCCAATGACTGCAAACTGGCAGGTACAAGAATAAGAACTGGGCAAAACTTCCCTTAAATGGAAATGATCAGCCTTACAGCAGCTGAAACATTATAATGTACAGACCGGGCGATATTGTTGCCTGCAATATGGTGAGAAGAATTTGGAGCAGAGCAACAAATAAAGTAAGAATTAATGGTCAGAAACAAAATTACTGGGCTTTTAACACACAATTAGTGTCCATGTTAACATAAGGCACAGAGTAATTTCTAGGCTTTAGACCTTCCTATTGATATTCTTGTCAATATACTGAAATCAGTCGACATTAAGGAGATTTAAAGAAAAACTCAAAAAGCAAAATCTTAATTTTAGTCTGCATACCATACTAAATCTATTTTTAGCTAACGAGATTAATTCCTGGTCACCAGGTGCACAAATATTTAACCCAATAGGCAGCAGTCTCTTCAACGCTGCAACAATGAGTGAAGTTTGAAGAGAATAGCGATCTCCTTTCCTCTTTGATTTCTTCCTCTCTTGATCAGACACACCTCCCTGTGGACAGCAAAAGATGAAAAAATAGTTGTTATTGTTAACATAACATACAGAGAAAATGGGTGTTGTCATTATATTTTTCCAAAAGATCAGGGCCAAAGCAATTGAAAGTTGTGCCACTATTTATGGATCAAAAGTAAGGAGGTTCACAAAAGGACCAAAGCGGGAGGACCAGGAGTTATCAGAATGGAGGACCATGGAGAAATTTGAAGAAAAAACTTCTCAGATTCCCAACGCATTGTTAGTTAATACCAAATAATGGGCACTTTCTTACAGGATGGCCAGTTTTTCTAAAGACTGAAGTTTGAACACCCGAACTTGATTTTACATGGAATGTTTAGAGATAGTAGATTTCCAATCTGTTTTGTTGCATTGGATTTGAGCCCAGAACAATGTACTCAATGGTTACAATAAGCAACTGATTCACCAAGATGAAAATGAAGTACGATAATGAAGAGGACAATCTTAATATCTATTGATCATCTCAAAGCTTCTTTATTAGCCACTGTGAAGTCATTAAAACTGCTCAGCTGAATTAATCTCTAATTGATACATGAACAATTAATACTTTAAAAAAGTATTTATTACTGTAACTTTAAATTCAAGGCAACTTCAGCTGCAAATAGCAGAAGTTCCATATAAAAGTGTAACAGAAGCACAAACGAAATGGCAAATTTGGAACCTTTGACATCTTGGACTTTGTATCAGTAATGAGGAAAGACATGTTGTTGATTTCATTCTGAATCACGAAGTTCTGTTCTTCTCTTTTAAAATTCTGAAAAATAAGTATTGACAGTAAGCGAGACTGATTAAGTATTATAAGCGCACAAATTATTGTTTTATGGAAGATCCTAAAAGATTGATCTCATAATTGCATATTGAGCTCACGTGAGATTTTGCCCAGTAGATAAATACTTCGGCTACCATGCGGAAAAGCTCCTCTGCTTCAGGATTTGGTTCTTTGAGCCATTTTGCGCTGAAAAAGAAACAAAAAGACATTTTGTAGGTATGTTTTAAAGCTACAGTTGATTTCAACTCTTCTGTATAGAAACATAGGACATAGGTGCAGGAATAGGCCATTCAGCCTGTCGAGCTTGCACCATCATTCAATATGATCGCAGCTGATCACGCAATTTCAGTATCTCATTCCTGCTTTTTCTCCACACCCCTTGATCCCTTTAGCTGCAACCGCCATGTCCAGCTCTCTCTTGAATATATCTAGCGAACTGGCTCCAACAGCTTCCTGAGTGAAGAAATTCTTCCTCATCTCAGTCCTAAATGGCTTATACCTTTACTCTTAGACTGTGACCCCTAATTCTGGACTTCCCCAACATCGGGAACATTCTTCCCACATCTAGCCTGTCCAGTCTCATCAAGATGTTGTATGTTTCCGTGAGATTTCCACTCATTCTTCTAAATTCCAGTGAGTACAAGTCCACTCGATCTTCATACGTCAGTCCTGCCATCCCAGGGATCAAGGTCCCTCCTCAAACTAGGAGACCAAAACTGCAGACAATACTCAAGGCATGGCCTCATTAATACCCTGTATAACTGCAGCAAAACATCCCCGCTCCTGTACTTAAATCCTTTCACTATGAAGACCATTATGCAACTAGCTTTCCTAAGTTTGTTGGGATAGTTCATTTGAAAAACTCCATATTATGCATTAATTAATGTTCATTTGTGGAAAGTCAAGAACTCTGGATCTGCTGGATTGTTGCTGCCTGCTGAGTGACCAGTCAAAAAATTAGCAGCTTTGGTAGCTTGTTGCAGTAAAAGGGATATAACTTAATATTAATGAGCACTGCCATTCACCAGGAATGACCAGTCAATAAATTAGCACTATTGTGTTCAAATTTAAGACTAGTCATTTCATTAACTGATAATTGGTTAAAACACCACATCGAAAATACCGTCATAGAGTTATAGAGATCTACAGCACAGAAAAAGGCTCTGAAAAAACCATTTTCCAGCACTTGGTCCATAGCCTTATATGCCTTGGCATTGCAAATGCACATCTAAATACTTCTTAAATGATACGAGGATTTCTCTCTCCACCATTCTTACAGGCAATGAGTTCCAACTTCTCACTACCCCCTGGGTGATTTGAAACAAAAAACTTAGATCTCCATTAAAGCTCCTGCCCCTTTCCTTTGGCGGTATTCAATATATGCCAGAAATTCCTCAAGGCAACTCCTGCTCCACTGCTATAACATTACCTGAGGTACAGCAAGATAGGTAAAAGGCACTTTCATTGCATGTCTAACAATGTTATTGTTGCACAGGATTGTAAGGGTCTAAAAGGATTAATGCTGATGAGTTCACTAAGCACCACACAATATGATGATGTCAGATGGAGTTGGAAAAGGGAATAACAATTTTCTTAGAGGAAGACCAATCAATGGGATCTCCCTCATAGTCTTAGTTACAATGTCTATCATACCAATGTAACTTATATGTATTTACTGCCATCAAATCAACTACATATTGTTTAAGACCAGGGTCTTTCCTTGAAAGACTGCTGAGTGCTTTCCCTTTATCAAAAGGGAAATTTATCAAAAGGTTAAGCAAGCCCTGCAGATCCCGTCCAGGAAAGCAGATGATGGCAGGAAACTTAGCTTGATCTTACACCATTATGAGCTGTGGTGAGAATCAACACACTTCAGAGCAGTGAAAAACTAAGTGGTTTTCCATTACCACACTAGACCAAAAAAGACATTGTACACCACTACCAGAAAGGTAGATGGTGGCAGAACATCTACCAGGCTGACTTTACATCAAGAGCACAGCTACAATGAGGATGGAGGGTAATCGGGGCGAGCAATAAATCTTGGCCTTGCCAACCATGTTCACAGCTCATGAGCAAAGAGAAAAAAACATTTACAACATTCCCAGGGGAAACTGTATTTGTGGTAAGCAGTACCAAGACAGCAGACATATGTCCTGTAAGTAGCACAGAATTAAAATGAGTTTAACAGTTCATGCTTTGACTACACACAAAAATATGGAAGCTGTCATATTCTACAGGATGACAGGCTGCTCTTTCAATACAGAAAAGGAGACAACCGGGAGTGAATCTAACCTGAGCATCACCTGACCTCAGGGGTGGGGCAAGGTTGAGAAGTTGGGTCCTTCATAAAGACAGTACAGGAATTGAACCTGTGCTGTTGGCATCGTAACAATATATTGAATATATTATTCTTAATAGTTCATTTCTTCCTAGCATCTGGCCTAAGATAGTTACAGTAGTAAAGAGTACAGCATTAGTAAACTGCGCCATATCCCTCAATTCCGCAGTATCAGATTCAATGCAGGAGGTTTTCATATATGATATGCTAATGACTTCATTTTTTAAAATTGTATGGGGTGATAGCCAGGAGTACATTCTTCTGACCTAACTGCGTGACATCACACTTTCCTACATTAACCTCTATCTGTCAAGTTTTTGCACATTCACTCAAAATTACAGTGAAATAAAATGCTAAAAGTATATTACCGGTTATAATCCACAAATCTGATCAGTAGTGGGTAGAAAGCATAAAGATCTCGGGTGAGCACAGTAAATTCATCCAGAATTAGCAGCTCAGCCTCAGACATGTCTCCTCTGCCCTCTGATTTAAGGTGTTCCTCTTCCATCACCACGGTGGCCACTTTCTTTTTCAGCTTCTCCATCAGAGGCAGGAAGTGTGTTTTAAGGAGCTGTGGTTTCACTTTGCTGATAATTGGCTGTGAGAACACTGGTAGAAGTAAAATATCAGGTTTCAGCATTTCATAGAATCAGAGAATGCCTACAGTGTGGAAGCAGGCCATTCAGCCCATACCAACCCTTTGAAGAGCATCTGACTCAGACTCCCCTCCTCTAAAATCCTATATTTCCCATGGTTAATCCACCCAACACATCGCTGGATGTTATCGGCAATTTAGCATGGCCAATCCCCCAAACCTACACATCTTTGGACTGTGGGAGGAAGCCCACACAGACACAGGGAGAGTCACAGAGACAGTAACCTGAGGCTGGAATTGCACCTGGATCCCTATCACTGTGAGGCAGCAATGCTAACCACTGAGCTACCGTGCCACCCCTGAACCCTGTCACTTGACAGGATTGGTGGAAGAAGGCACACTTTTCAAAAGGAAACTGGATAAACGCTGGAAGAGAAAACATTTGCACAGCTTAAGTGCAGGGTAGTGGGAGAAATCAGGTAACTCTACCAAAGAGTTGGCACAGACAAAATGAGCTGAATGGCTTCCTTCTCCATTATCCTGTAACCATCCAGAGAACAAATACATGTAAACTGTAATTGAAATCAGACTTTCTTTTTAATATCTTGCATGCTAGTAGTAAAACTGTTGATTATAACGCAACACTTAATTATTTCACTTTACAATTCTATACAACTTTACAATACCATCATGTAGCAAAATGGACAGGCTGGCTACAAATAACAAGTGAAATGGGAGCTGATGGAAAACCTTCCTTTCTCCATGGAATAGTGGTGTGTCGAATGAAGGCTCTTTTGAAGTCATACTTTTTGCATTCTTGGCTTACTTCACAAACTCTTAATAGTTTCATCAATCAAAAGGAATATTTTCCTTACAGAAAACCTGGCAATTCTTGTAACTAATGTCTTCAAGTAAACAGTAGGAATGGTAAATTCTGAACAGCAGATAATCACAATTAATTAGATGTCACAGTCCAAGTATCAATTTTATTTCTGACTAGTGGAGTAAAAAAAATTGCATTATTATAAGTGAAGGTTCTTTGAACAACTTCAAGTTTTTATCATGCAGAAAAAATCCACTCTAAGAAACTAAGGAACAAATGCTCTTTAAATGAGACATCTTTTTATTTAAATGGTTGAATCTTGAAATGTGTGGCCCCAAATGTCCCATGTACCACTGGGATGTGCTGATTAGAAAATTATGGGCCTACTCTCCAGGATTTTCCTTCTATTTATTAAGTGTCCCCAAAAAATATCTTGAGAACTGCTTTGACAATATCCTGATTTGCATAATCAGTCTGATAATATTTCAGCTTCATGAAACATACTGGTCATAAACAGCAGTACCTGCTAATCTTTTCATCCAGGCTCCTTCATCGATGCCCAAGTTGTTAGATATTATCTTCAGAATGTTGCCCAGAAGGGTGTTCATGTGTTCGGAGGTGAGAGCAGTGCAACACTGCTCTGCCTTCTCAGGGTTATTCTCTGGCCCATGTTCCCACCAATGGGACATGTAGCTGCACAACATGGGTAAAATGACTTCCATCACATGGGGCATCTGAGTGTAGCGTATCCCAGATTCTGTCAGCTCCATGATCTCATCCAGTAGTCTTTCCAGAGAAGGAATATTGGGGCACATATCTTCCACTTTGGCCGGTAACTTCAAAGCTAAGGCAAAAGAGCAACTTTAAGAGGATGAAGATCATTGGCAGTCCCCAAAGAATAATATTTTGTATTTTAAATTAACTACTCCAAGGGCAAATGTTTGAATAAGAACCCCTGATGTATCATTTGAAGGTTTTGTTTTTGGTTTATGGTGTATTTTTTTCATTTTCTTATTAAGACACTATCCATATATTCCAAAAGTGATCAACAACTTTTTGACCCACTCTACATAATTTCATATCTAACAATCTAATCATCACCCCTTGATATTCAACAGCACTAACATCACTGAATCCCACATTATCAAAATCCTGGAGTTACCAGTGTCCAAAGTAGGGGGGTGGGTTCAGTTGCATGGAAAATTATGGAAAAAGTTAAAAGGGAGGAGAGCTCAGGAGAGGTTATTGACCTTTCCAGAACAAGTAATAGGACAGAGAGTATGGAAAGGGTCAGGAATCTAACATCAGGTACAGCAGATAAGGGGACAAGTATAAAAAGAGAGGGGCGTCAACACAGGACTGAGAGTGTTGTGCTTAAATGTGCGCAGTATACGAAACAAGGTAAGTGAACTTGTAGTGCCAATCAAAATTGCTGGGTATGATGTTGTGGGCATCACAGAGATGTGGCTGCAAGAGGATCGGGGCTGGGAAACTAAATATTCAAGGATAGACATCCTTTTGAAAGGAAAGGCAGATGGTAGAGGGGGCAAGATCGCCTTGTTAGTAACGAATGAAACTAAATTAATAGCAAGAAACAATGTAGGCTCAGAAGGTGTAGAATCTGTGTGGGTAGAGTTGAGGAAATGCAAAAAGGAAAGGCCCTAATGAGAGTTATGTATAGGCCTATTGGCAGTAGTTAGGATGTGGGGCAGAAAATAAATCAGGAGACAGAAAAGGTAAGAAATACACTATTTCAATAATCATCGGGGACTTCAATATGCATGTGGACTGGGAAAATCAGGTTGGTAGCTGATCTCAAAAAAAGGAATTTGTGGAATGTCTATGAGATTTTTTTCGGAGCAACTTCTGTTAGAGCCCATTAGGGAATAAACAATTCTGGATTTGGTAACATGTAGTGAGGCAGACTTGATTAGGGAGCTTAACGTGAAGGAGCCCCTAGGGGACAGTGACTACAATATCACTGAATTCACCCTGCAGAATCAGATGTAACAGTATTACAATTGAGTAAAGGTGACTACAAAGACATGAGGGAGAAGGTGGTTGGAGTGGATTGGAAGGGGATGCTAGAGGGAAAATGGTGGAGCAGCAATAGCAGGAGTTTCTGGGGTAATTCAGAACGCACAGCAGAAATTCATCCCAAGGAAGAAGAAACATACGAAGGGGACAATCAGGCATACATTCCTGACAAGAGAAATCAGGGACAGCAGGGAGGTTAAAGAAAAAGCACGCAATGTGGTGAAGATTAGTGTGAAGCCAGAGGATTGTAAAGCCTTTAAAAGTAAGCAGAGAAAAACTAATAAAAGCACTGTTGGGGGAGAAGATGAAATATGAATGTAAGCTAGCCAGTTGTATAAAAGAAGATAGCAAGAGGTTTTATTTTAGATTTATAAAGCTAAGAATGGTCATTGCACTGCTGGAAAATAAGGCTGGAGAAACGGTAATGGGGATCAAAGAAATGGCGGTGGAACTGAATAGGGACTTTGCATCAGTCTTCCAGTGGAAGACATCAGTAGCACACCAAAACTTCAACAGAGTAAGGGGACAGAGGTGAGTGTAGAGACCATCACTGAAGAGAAGGTTTTGCGAGAGCTGAAAGGTCTGAAGATGGATAAATCACCCAGATTGATGGATTATACTCCAGAGTTCTGAAGGAAATAGCTGAGGAGATTGCAAAGGCATTGCTGGTGATCTTTCAGGAATCACTGGAGTCAGGGAGCGTCCCAGAGGTCTGGAAAATGACTAAAATAATGCCCCCGTTTAAGAAGGGAGGGAGGCAGACCTCAGTCATTGGCAAGATTTTAGAGTCAATTATCAAGGAAAAGACTGCAGAATACTTGGAAGTGCATGATGGAATAGGGCTGAGTCAGCAGACTTTCAACAAAGGAAGATCATGCTGTTAGACTTCTTTGAGGAGGTAACAAGCAAGTTAGATAGACGAGAGTCAGTGGACTTGACCTGCTTGGTTTCCCAGAAGGCTTCTGACAAGGTGCCATACAGGAGGCTGCTGAAAAAGACAAGAGCCCATGGTGTTAGGGATAAGGTATGGCATGGATAGAGGATTAGCTAATTGGCAGAAGGCAGACAGTGGGATCAAAGGGGTCTTTTTCAGGTTGGCGGCTGGTGACGAGTGGAGTTCGGCAGGAGTCAGTGTTGGGACCACAACTGTTCACATTATACATTAACAAACTGGACAAAGGAATTGAGGGCATTGTTGCTAAGTCTGCAGATAACACCAAGATAGGTGGAGGGACAGGAAGCATTGAGGAAGTGGGGAGGCTGCTGAAGGGATAGGAGATGACTAGAACTGGTGAATAGATTGTATTCCATCTGCCATTTTGTTGCTCAATGTGGGAAAGTGTGAGGCTTGCACTTTGGTAGGAAGACTAGAGGCACAGACTATTTTCTACATAAGGAAAGGTTTTTGAATCTGAAGCACAAAGGAACTTACGAGACCTAGTTCAGAATTCTCTTAAAGTTAACATGCAGGTTTAGTTGGCCGTTGGGAAGGTAATGCAAAGTTAGCATTCATTTTGACAGTGCTGGACTTCAAAAGAAGGGCTGTACTGCTGAGGCTGTACAAGGCTATGGTCAGACTGCATTTGGAATATTGTGAGCTGTTTTGGGTCCTGTATCTAAGGAAGGATGTGCTGGCATTGGAGAGAATCCAGATCAAGTTTACAAGAATGATCCTACAGATGAAGGGTTTGTCATATAAGGAACGGTTGAGGACTGTGGGTCTGTACTCGATAAAGTTTAGAAGTATGAGAGGGGATCGCATTAAAACTTACACAGACACAGCCTCAGAGTGAAGGCATGACCGTTTAGAACTGAGATGAAGAGGAAGTTCTTGTGCCAAATCTTGTGGTGAATCTGTGGAACTCACTGCCACAGAAGGCTGTGGAGGACAAGTCACTGAGTGTATTTAAGACAGATATACACAGGTTCTTGATCAGTAAGGGGATAAAAGGTTGGAGGGAGAAAGCAGGAAAATGGGGTTGAGAAACATATCAGCCATGATTGGATGGTGGATCAGGCTTGATGAGCCAAATGGTCTAATTCTGCTTCTATATCTTATGGTCTTACTGGAATGAACCAGACTAACCATATAAATGCAGTGCCTGCAAAAGTAGGTCAGAGAATAAGAGTCCTGTAGCACACCTCCTGACTCCCCAAAGCCTGTCCACCATCTACAAGACACAGGTTAGGAGTATGGTGGAATACTCTCCATTTGTCTGAATGAGTGCAGATCCAACAACATGCAAGAGAAGCTCAACAATATCCAGGACAAGGCAGCTCACTTGATAGGCACCACAGCCATAAACATTCATTCCCTTCATTACTGAAGCTCAGTAGCAGCTGTGTGTACCATTTACAAGATGCGCTGCAGAAATTCACCAGAACACCGGAGACAGAACTTCCAAACTCGTGACCACTAACATCGAGAATGTCAAGGGCAGCAGATACAGTGGAAACAACACCACCACCTACAGGTTCCTCACCAGATCAGTCGCAATCCTAACCTGTCGCTGGGTCAAAATACCGGAACCCCATCCCTGAAGCATTTTGGGTGTACCTACATCAACTGCACTGCAGCAACTCATGCAAGCAATTCACTATCAAATTCTCAAGCATAATTAGAAATGGACAATAAACTTGTCCAGTCACTGAAGACAGTCCTCTGAATGAATTTTAAAAATTCTATCCTAAAGCTCCAGTTTTAACTCATGATGAGAACAGGACAGGTGAGGGCTGACAATGTTAGCTCAGTTGGCTAGACAACTGGTTTGCAGTACACAATAATGTCAACAGCATGGGCTCAATTCCTGCAATCAGCTGAGGCTATCATCAAAAACTCCTTCTCAACCTTTCCCTTTACCCAAAGATGGTGATCCTCAGATTAAACCACAGGTTATCAGGGACCCTCAGGTTATCTCTCTCTAATAAAAGAGAGCAGCACTATGATCTGTTAAGACTAGGGCATCTTTTACCTTTTCAGTCCACACCCGTGTGCTATCATCACATGGCGCAATATGGTGGAACTTTGAAGCATAACATCAATACATTTGTTGGTCTTTAAAGTATGCATTACATCAAATGAATAAATGGTCAAAACATTCATTGCACAGGAGGTTAATGTACCTGCTCGATCTTTCGGTGTCTTCGTGTTGTAGCTCGAGAATGGATTGTGTTTATTCGAGTCAGTTTCTAGGAATGCAACTGGAAAGGCTCCAGCCAATGCTGCCAGACATTCCCCTAATGCTGGTCGCTGCCTGTAATGAAAAATTACACAAACCGAAATAAAATTAACAAAGGAGCCTAAAGAAACAGCACCCTTGGCCTGCAGCTTGGATATTGATTGGATTAGGCCCCAAACTCTGTAATTTTCAAGTCTTTTCACCTGTTTGTCTCTCTCTGCTCCTTCAAGATGTTCTGTGAATATTATCTTATCTACAAAGTTTTTGGTCACCTATCCTACTTTCTTTGATTTGGTGAATTTGTTCTGTCAACTCTCCTGTGAAGAGTCTTGGAGCATTCTAATACAATAAATGCAATTAGTAGTCATTGAAAGCATTACCTTCTCACAGTCACGTGAACTAAATCAAATTAAGGAGGCAATTACAAAAGGGAAACGGTTACATTCAGACTGCATCCTATCACATTTTGAGAAACAAGTAATTAACTTTTTTTTAAAGAATTTGATGACTGCCATGTGAACAAAGTGGGTTTTATTAAGGACTGATAATTCAGGTGAAACAATTGATATGTTGAAATAGCAAAGGCCAGAGAAGTTGAAATATCTCTTAAAAAAAACATGCAATTTGTTTTACAGCAGGATCTCTGGACTGTTCACTTGGAAGTTCAGATTAACTTTTGGAAATTTTATATTTTAAAAGCGATGATTCCCTGGGCATCTCAAAAGACATTTATTGTGAACCAATTGACTGCTGTTGTGCCTGCAACAGTGGGTCAGTTGGCTCAGTTGGTAGGACAGCGGGTCTGTGATGCACAACGACACCAAAGGTGTGGGTTCAATTCTCACAACAGCTGAGGTTATGATGAAGGACTCTCCTTCTCAACCTCTTACTCACGTGAGGCATAATTTAGTGATTGGGACCAGGTAGACCTCATTAATTTCAAGGCTCTTGATTGGGGTTGTCTACCTGGGCCAATTAGGAAAGCCTTGGCTGACCAATATAACAAGGAGATGGCTCTGAGCTGGCTGGCCACACCCAGTGTACTGTGCACTCAGAAATAAAGGGTGACGGGACCTGGTCTCTGTGCAGTTACTTCACACAATACCCCTGAGGTTAAGTGGTTGTCTAATGAAAGTGAAGACTATAGTGATTTTACCTTTACACTACAGCAGAAATTAATTTTCTCTAAACTACTATGGGACTTCCTGAGATCATGAAAGCTGCCATATGTCTTGCCTCCAAGTCACAAAGTTCTGAGTTCAATTTCCACCTCATGTCTTCAGTACGAAAATCAAAGCTGAGATGCCAATATGGTACCGAGGAAGTGGCTACACTGATCAACATGATCTTCCAGGCACCATCTGTCAGCTGAAGTGGATGCAAAAAATTGAACGACACTATTTTGAAGGAAAACAGAACAGTTGTCCCTGGTATCCAGGCCAATTTTTATCCCTTAATCAATATCATAAAATAAGTGATTACCAGATCATTATCATTTGTTGATTATGGTAGCTTGCAATGCACAAATTGACTCTGCAGTTCCTACATTACGATTTGATTTAATTTAATATATTGTCACGTGCATTTATTACAAATACAGTGAAAAGTGTTGTTTACAACATTACAGCAGTGACTACACTGTAAAGTGTTTGAGATGTCCAGTGGTCCTGAAAAGCATTATGTAAATGGAAAAAAAAATATGTTTTTGTTTTACAGAACATAACTCTGTTTTGTTGACATCATTTACATAGGCTGCATTGGCGGACAACAGCGCATGCTCGCTATGTGTCACTTAAATCCAGGAATTTAAATGGATTTGGAGAGACGCAGCCCATGAGACAGCCAAGGACCTGGGAGGGGTATGGGGAAGACAGGGAAAGAGGAGGATGGGGGGGATAGAGGAAGAATGGGAATAGGGGTTGGGACAGAGGGAGAGATGAAGAGAGGAAGTGAGGGAAGAGAGGAAGAAGTGGCCTCCCAGCTCCCATGTCCTCACTCCCCCTACCCACTTCCTCACACCCTGCGTCCCCACCTTTGCCCCATCCTCACGCCCCCTGCATTCTCACCCCACAGAAACCTTTCTTCTCCATGCAGTGCAGACTTTATATTTGACATCAGAAGTCAATTTTATAAGGTGACATACTGCGTCTGAAATTATGCACAGGCATGTTTTTAGATTCATGTGCATGCACAGTTCCAGGTGTCAGAGGGCACTTCCTTTCCATATTTAATATGGCTATAAGATGCAGGTGCAGAAGTAGGCTATTCCAACAGTTGAGTGCTTCACCATTCAAAGAGACCATGACTCATCTAACACCCGTCAATTCCATTTTCCAGCCTTTTCCCCATAATCATTGACTCTCTTATTGATAACTTGCTTCCTCCTTTGGTGCCATCACAAACTTGTTTAGAGTACATTTACTTCGGCCATCTAAGTCATTAATATATATTGTAAATAATTGTGGGTGCTGCACTGATCCATGTGACACTGCATTAGTTATTACTGCCATCCTAAAAACTCTCCCTGCCCATCCCAGCTTCTATTAGTTAGCCATTCTTTAGTCCATGCTAATATATGACGCCCAGCACCATGGGCCCTTATCTTATGAAGTAGTCTTATGTGTAGTAGATTATTGAATGCCTTTTGGGAATCCAAACATATTACATCTACTGGTTCTCTTTTATCTATTCTGCTTGTTAACCCCTTAAAGGATTCTAATAAATGTGCTGGGCATGATTTCCCTTTCATAAAGCCACGCTGACTCTGCCCTGGTTATATTGTTTCTAAAATGTTCTGATATTACATCCTTTATAATAGACTCTAAAAGTTTCCCAATGACAGAGGTTAAGAAAGCAGCCATATACTGACCTTTTTTAGGTTTCCCTCCCTTTTTGAATGAAGGTATTACATTGGCAGTTTTGAAATCTCTGGGACTTTTCCAGAATATAAAGATTCATGGAAGATTACTAAAACTTCAAAGGGCAGCACAGTGGCTCAGTAAGGGTGGCATGGTGGCTCAGTGGTTAGCACTGTTGCCTCAAAGTACCAGGGACTCCAGTTTGTTTTCTGCCTTGGGCGACTGTCTAAGTAGAGTTTGCACATTCTCCCCTTGCCTTGCGTGGGTTTCCTCTGGGTGCTCTGGTTTCCTCCCACAGTCCAAAACATGTGCAGGTTAGGTGGATTGGCCATGCTAAATGACCCATTGTGTCTCGGGTGGGAAATGCAGAGATAGGGTAGGGGGTGGGTCTGGGTGGAATGCTCTTGCAGAGGGTTGGTGTGGACTTGAGGGGCCAAATGGCCTGCTTCCACACCGTAGGGATTCTATGAACTGCATTCACTATATCTCTAACTACTCTCTTTCATATCCTAAGATGCATCTGATCAGGTCCAGGGGGCCTATCGGCCTTTAGCCCCAACAGATTCCTTAATAGATTTTTTTTCTCCTGATAGTTAATGTATTTATTTACACACCTGATTTAGCCCTTAATAATTTAGTATTATTTGAATGCTACTAAGCATCCTCTACCGTGAAGAATGATTGCAAGTATTTGTTCAGCTCCTCCTTCATTTCCTAGTTTCCCATTATTATTTCCCCAGCCTCGTTTTCAAAGGGGCCGATGAACACTTTGCCCTTCCTTTTCCAAATGATATATTTAAAGAGGCTCTTGCTGTACATTTTGGTATTACTTGCTAGTTTACCCATAGGTTATTTTCTCCCTTATTTCTGTCATCTTTGGTTGGGTTTTAAAACTTTACCAATCTTCTGGCATACCACTAATCTTTGTCACATTGTATTTTGTTTTTACAATTTGATACTATTTAAGGTAGTGAAGTATTCTTTTGTGACATTCCTTACTACTGTGCCATTTAAGTTGCCAAAACTGTACAACAGAAGCATGGGACAAAATAAGCCAGACAGCTGCTGTTGGCTGACTTATGTGAGCTAACCAGATGATGGCTACATCCCCAAAGACCCACTCTGTGATGAGCTTGCTATCAGCATAAAGCCAACAAGTTGCCAACGTCTGTGAAATTAGGATGTCCACAAGTGACAAGACACCAAATTGCTAAGATTAGAATCAATGCATGGGACGTGCTACTGACCAGAATGCTAGAGACAAACAGTCAGATAGGGCATAGAGAAAGCAGAGGTCAAGACAAATTATCCTACAGCAGGAAATAGCATCCACCAGAAGGAAAACAAAATTCAGTCAACCCAGGCCAAAACCATTCGTCTGTATATAATGGACTGTCACTCACAAATCAATCTCTATCGCCACAACAAACCATCTTCCATACAGAAATGAGATGCATCCTGGATGCAATTCATTATCTCCCAAGATGGATGGATGCTAACCAATCCAATTTCAATTAATGGCATTGATGAACAGGAAAAGCTCATTAATTAAAACTACATAAAGCTGTAATTTGGAGTATTGCAGGTTATACCTTCGGGGAAGAAACATTGAGAATGTTACTGATTGTGCACAAGTTATCATGATATATGATATCACAATGAAAGTCATTCTTAGAAGCTTTGAAGCAAGCTTTCTACTTTAAAATATTTTCACTAGTTATTTCCTTACCTTTCTACATATATGCTTTTCCCTGTACCCAATGCATATAAGCTGCTTAATATTCTGTAACCAGAAACTTGTACGTCATCCACTGAAAAAGAAGAGTGCCACCAGCACAACATTAATTCTCAGTTTCATACTATTAGAAATTAGAAAATATCTTCCTTCCATGCACACTCAAGAAATCACAATTTGTCACTGATGTCCTTGATGTTGGGAGTGCTTTGTGCTGTTAACACAACGATGCTGTTTAACTGAGTCCAGACCTTGGTCATAGCTTGTATTGAAAATACTTCCATTGTATTACATTTCGCTAGTAAATGAGTTAAAACTGTAGCAATCCACACTAGAAAACAGAATCTGAATATACCTATCCAACAAAATCTGCTTTGCTGGCATCACCAAATTTACACAGTAGAAATCAATTATGAGAAAGCATGATTTTTACATTAGCACCTCATTTCTTTGAGCCTTGAGCTTTGTCTCAAAAGTAATATGTTCTAGAAAATGATCTTTATATTGAACACACGATTTAAAGTGACCAGTAACAACTGACTGCAATGAAACAATGTTGAAGAATTGTTTAATATTATGTTTAATTTTACATACTGTTGACAATTTGTCATGTTCTCTCTAAGATCAACACTGCACTAGCCAATGCCTTTATGAAGTCACTTGGTACTAAAGAACTTGAATATTGTTGAAAGTGTTACCAAAGTCTTTTTTTTTTATTTTGCAGTGATCAGGACAGAAGCAGGAATACCAAATTTCAAATGATCCTAACAATTTATAATACAAGAGAGAAGGCTGAGTGAGTCGACTCTGATTGGATAAGGCAGCAAGAAAGGAAATATAGGCTTCCTGGGTAATTCAGAAAGGTACAAGCTTTGAACATATTCCTTTTGTCTGCAGAGGACAAGCCCCTTTGTATGAAGCTATGTCACTTCTCGAAAGGATACATGAACCGTGTTATGAGCTTAGGAGGTTCAGTAAGTTCTACCTATTGTTGAAATCAAATCCAACAACAGACATTTTGTTTCCAGTTCTGCAAATGTCCTTTAGGGAAGGAAACTGCCATCCTTACCTGGTCTGGCCTACATGTGACTCCAGACCCACAGCAATGTGGTTGACTCTTAACTGCCCTCTGGGTAATTAGGATGAGCAATAAATGCTGCCTAGCCAGCGACACCCTCATCCCATGAATGAATAAAACAAATGCAGAAGCTGGTTGAATGTGATATGTAGGAACACTTTGTTTGATTTGATTTGATTAATAAATCATTGAGCTTACATAGCTGGCATTGCACTGGTAGTGAAATCCACACGAGTTTACCCAATTGTCTGATAGGCATTCTTTTGGGACTTATAGCAGCATATTATTATTGGAAAATACCACTGGCATAGCCACTGCATAATAGTAGCGTGAAGTGACTTGTTTAGGTGCTTAAACGTTTTTTTAGATACTTTGTCTTTCCAGGATTACTTGAATCAGGCTGGGAACTTCTCAATTTTGAAAGTGGCTCTTTATGGACCATTTGCAATTTTGCACCATATACAGCCAGCAATAATCCTAACAGGATAACCAGTGCCTTGTAGGGCTTTGGCTAGTTGCCTCTCTTATAATAATCCCTTTACAGTGCAAACCAAGCAGTTGTCAGATTTATAATTCACTCCATTCTTTCTTTTTGTTGGGAGGGGGGATTGGGGGGTTGGGGGACAGCATCCCAAGTACTGTTGTTTTTGTCACATCAGGCATTTGGTTGCTCACTGTCATTTATATGGTTGGATTAATTACTTGCTGTCATTCCAAGAAAAATAAGTGACTGTGTTTATTGAACTGGATAGCAGAGCGTGGACAGATTAATCTCGGAAACAGAAGAGTTCATTCAAAGGGCAAGACTGTTTGTCCACTACCATTCTGTAGATAGGGGAGATAGCCAGGTCAATCTGAATGATGAGACGTGAACTTACATATCGAATTGAGCTGTTGCAGCTAGTTAGATCAATCGACAAGAAAATGTGAAGTTGGAGTCCATGCTAGCAACTGATCAATCTCTAACACTGAGTTATTGCCTTGTGTGTTTTGCAGATTTTAAATATCCCTGCATAGACAGCGATACACAACATTTATTAGTGATATGCTGAAGGAAACAAGAAATGCTCATATCCTCTTGTTAAACATTTTCAGTTAAGCACGTGTTCTCATGTAGTCTGAATATAAAGTCCTCAGCTAACAAGAATCCTATATTTTAAAACCTTACAATTAAAGTGTGATTTAAAGGAGTATTCTCTTCAGGACTATAGCCATAGAATGGTTACAGCACAGAAGGAGGCCATTCAGTCTGTCATGTCTGTACTGGTTCTCTGAAAGCGTAATTCATCCAGCGCCACTATCATTTTTCCTATAGCCCTGCAATTTTTTGCTTTTTCATATAGTGATCTTAGACCTTCTTGAATAATTTAATTCACCCCTGCCTCCACCACATTCTCAGGCAGTGCATTCTAGATCCCAACCACTAATTGTGTAAAGAAGTTTTTCCTCAAGTCACCATTGCTTCTATTGTTGATCAACTTAAATGTTTGCTCACTGGTTCTTGTTACAGCCATCAATATGAACAGCTTTCCTCATCCTCCCCGTCCAGATCCCTCATGATAATGAATACCCCAATCAAGTCTCTTCTTAACTTCCAAGGAAACAACTTCAATTTCTCCAATCTGCATGTAACCAAAGTTTTGGTTCACTGGAACCATTCGTGTGAATTTTATCCGAACCATTTTGCTGCCTTCACATCCTTCCTAAGCTGTAGTTTCCAGAGCTAGACAAACTACTCCAGTTGAGGATGAGCCGGAGTTTTACATAACATCCTTGCTTTGGTGCTGTATGGTCCTATTGATAAAACCATGATGCAATATGTTTTATTAACCATTTTCTCAAACTGTCCTGTCACCTGCAATAGATTATGTACAGATCCCTCACTTCCTGCATGCCCTTTATTGTCTGCCTCGTCCAACCAAAAAAAAATCACTTCATGCCTCTCTACTAAAATTTCATCTGCCATTTTTCCACCCATTTTGCTAACCTGTTGTGTGGCCTTTTCAAGTCCTACATTATCTTCCTTATGGTTCACAATACTTCTTTTGGGGACCAAATCCTCCGGTTTTACATCCTCCCCTCTCAGGATGCTCGGAGTTCAGCAGTATCCTTGACCTTGTCAGCAGACCATCCTGGCTCCCGTCAACCAATCAACTTGTGGCTAAAAGATCAGGAGAAAGTGACCTGCCTACAATTCCAATGGTTGTCCCATGTCAAATGAACATTGGGGCAGCATTAATTACTTTAAGGTAAGGCATCTGCCTCTTTCTAGGTTAGAGAGTTTCCAGCCAAACTCAGCAGTCCCTGCAGCACCATCCAGGAGTGGTGGCTACAGCTCGTGCTATTTCAGCAATCCCATAAGGCTGAGGAATTGAGCTAAGTCCAGGGTTAGGAGAGTCAGCAAAGGAGATGAAGGGGTTATAGTGGACTGAGTTCAAGGAGCTGGGGTGGATTAAAGGTGGGATGATCTGGAAGGGGAAGAGGTTGAGCCTTGACAGGCAAAGGGCACTTGCAAAGGAGAATATCTCCCTCCCCAATTTATCTGACACTAGGTCATCATTAATTGGCCACTTAAGGGCCTCAATGGGCGAAGGAGTCATCCAATGTCTCTCCTATCTTCTGTAAGGTTTTATGCGGGTCATCAATGGGCATAAAATACAACCCCATGCCACAGTGTAACATATTCTGACAGCATCTACACTGAAGGATAGTTGAATTATTGTAAGCTTATTGTTTGATAATGCACAATTAAAATTCCAAAACAAAAAAGCCATGGCTATATCTGTTAGATTAGATCTATCATAGGGTTACTAAAATATAATAAAGAATAGAAGCGTACAGATCAGATCTTCTCCAAACTGGTGCTGTCCAATGTGTTCAAACAATGATGACAAGACTGGTAGCAGTGCCACTGTAGTGTAATTGATGATCTGGGTCACTCCCTTTGGCTGTGTCCTGGTGTGAGTGAATTGACCAAGTTTAAGGTTCTCTATGGTCTTTTCCAAATCTTCTGCCGCATTTTCAAAAAAGGCTCGTAGAGCCAACTTAACAGACTCCAGGCCAGTCTTCATCACCGTTCTGTGGACAACAACATAATCACTTAGAGGGGTTTAACAGGTAGTCAAATCATGCTGAGCTTTAATGAGTGACTATAAAACATCATCTGCCTCTACATTAACAAGAACACTCCATGTAATACCTGTAAGATCGCACATTCATATCTGAGAACTACGAGATGAAGTTGGGGGGTTCCTTCAGTGCTGAAAGACACCCGATCTGTACTTGCCGCCAACACTCTACCCTTATCCTGCCATCACTCAGCTTCAGTCTGGGGCCGCACTATGGTCCTGTACCTCAGTTAATGAAATTCCAGCAACACCAACGGCTCCCACTGGCACTGGTGGGATGAGAAGCTGACTGGCCTGCAGCACTTAACAGGTGGATCTTCCATTACTATGGTCCTCAACTGTGAAGAAGACTTTCCGGTGGCTACTTATATACCTAAGGGGCATTCGATTACATCAGTCCACCCCACAGAACTGACAGGGGGTGGGAGAGGCAATTCCCCACCAGTTTTCCAACTGGCAAGGTCCTTGGAATTGTTGTTGAACAAAGGGACCTTGGAGTGTAGGTTGACAGTGGAGTCGCAGGTAGATAGGACAGTGAGGAAGGCATCTGGTATGCTTGCCTTTATTGGTCAGTGCACTGAGTATAGGAATTGGCAGATCATGTTACAGCCATACAGGACATTGGTTAGGCCACTACTGGTATACTGTGTGCAATTCTGGTATCCCTGCTTTGAAAGGATGCAGTGAAACTTGAAAGGGTTCAGAAAAGATTTACAAGGATGTTGCCAGTGTTGGATGGTTTGAGCAATTTGGGAGAAGCTGAATAGGTTGGGGCGTGACCTTACAGAGGTTTATAAAATCATGAGGGGCATGGATAAGGTTAATAGACAAGGTCTTTCCCCAGAGTGGGGGAGTCCAAAACTAGACGGTATAGGTTTAAGGTGAGAGGGGAAAGATTTAAAAGGGAACTAAGATGTAACTTCCTCACACAGAGGGTGATGTATGTATGGAATAAGCTGCCAGAGGAAGTGGTGGAGGCTGGTACAGTGACACCATTTAAAAGGCATCTGGATGGGCATATGAATAGGAAGGGTTTAGAGGGATATGGGCCAAATGCTGGCAAATGAGGCTGGATTAATTTTGAATATCTGGTTGGCATGGACAAGTTAGACCAAAGAGTCTGTTCCCGTGCTGTACAGCTCTATGACTCTTATGGCAGGAAAGATCTTTCAGCCAACAAAATCACAGCTCATGCCAAGGTGTAGAGCTGGATGAACACAGCAGGCCAAGCAGCATCAGAGGAGCAGGAAAGCTGACGTTTCTGAAGA